AATTACACAAACGTACAAAAGAGAGTGGTTATATACACTATAGCAGTCACACACTGTATCTGTAAAAAAAAAAAGAAAAACCAGAGCTCTAGGAAATAAAATGAGTATGTTAAGAAAGCTAAGTACAAAACAGTACCTATAATGTGCTAGCTTTGCACAAGAAAGGAAAAAGAAATATATTGGTAGCTGTTCATTTGTGCAAAAACAAAACAAAGATAGGGAAACCAAGAAACGAAACTGATTCCCTATTGAGGGTGGGCAAAAATGAAATGGAAAAAAGGGGGGCAATGTGAACTAAGTGTAGAAGAGATGGGAAGCAGTGGCATTTGCTCCATTTCTGTAACATTCTGACATCTAGAATCAGGTTAATGTATTGCATAATCAAAAAAAATACTTTTTTTTTTTTAAATCAGCAAGGATGGGAGGTGGAAATAAATTTCAAATGAAGCCTGTATTGCTTGTACAGAAACAAAAGAACCTGTTATGGAAAATGAATAACATAACCAAACTGAATGGGGAGGGAAGACTGCTCCAAAGAACTTTTAAATACAATATTTTTATGATCCCACAGATTAAAGACAAAACAAAATAAAACACTGTAAATTTTTTTCATTCTAACTAAAAGGTTTCTTTTTCACAGTGGTATGGGTCACTACTATAATTGTATTCTAGGAATGAGCAATTGAAGAAATATATTGTACATACAGAAAGCCCAATTTCTCACAAATATGAGAAAAGGTTAAAATAACCCTGTGTTATTTGATAGTATTTAGAAATCTGTTTGAACTGTGACTGTTGATAAAAACACAGATATGTAAATGTGTTATGGATACACACATACACATGTATTTCCTAGCTCTGACCTCTCAGAGTGCCCAGGGCAAGAATACCTACTGCAATGAATACTCCTAACAGCCTGATTTTGGTTTCTAAATACTATTTACCACTAAATGGACTAAGCTCCTTGACAAATAGCTGATTCCAGAGATTATCCAGAGAAAGCATGAGTCTAGAACACTTGTTCTTATGCCAGAAAGTAGTGACTAAAGAATTAGAGCTTATCAAAATGTCACATGTATCAACATAAATATTGATGGTATTAGATTTTCACTCACAGACTGAAAAAGAATGTATGACTCCATGCTGACATAAATAAGTAACTTTAAAATAAAAAGTAAGGGTAGAAACTCTGGTGGCTTAGTTTATAGCTTGTTACTCTGCTAAGCAAAAAATAGGGAAGAAGAAATATTTCCTACAGCAGAAGGAGAACTAAGAAATGCTGACAAAATGGTAGACTAAGAAAATCAGCATCCTGTACCCACCAAAACAAATACTGTTTCTACCAAGAATTATCAATTGATGTGAAAAGTAGAGTCTGAGAGCTTAAGTTACTTACTGACTACAAAGGAATAAAACAGTAACTTTGCAGTGAAGACCTACCTTATGAAAGCGATCAGTTAACATCACAAGAAACTGGAGAACCCTGTGCCACTGAGGCAGCTGCAACATCATTTTTGTGATTTTTGCCAAAAATTAATAGTCTGAATCTAATAAAAAGGAAACCTCAAAAAGGCTCAACATGAGGGGCATTCTATGAATTAAATGGTCTTTACTCCCTAAAAATGTTAACCCTGAAGAGTAAGATTGGTGATCTGTTCCAACACAGGAGAAGAGACCTCTAAATTCAAGGCAGTAGCACTCTGGATAAATTTGGAAGAGGGTAGGAAGGGGCAGGAGATGTAATTACTTCCTTTTGCTAATGTGATATGTGACTAAGAGCTATTGTTCCAAGGCTTACTGGTAAAGAGTGGCATTGCCAACACAAAGGCACAGGGCTCAAATCCATTAGTTACTGTGCAAGAGAAAGGCAATTTCCTCCTATATGTTTTACTGGTTTTGAAAACCTGCTGGAGAGTCAATTCTGACTCTACGGTACATAACAACATGCTGATGTTACTAGTGATTTTACTAAGTGTACAAAGTTTATGTCAGAGAATGTACTTACTTTTAGGAAATTAAGAATCTTAGGTTTGCAACTCCTGTCAAAACATTTCAGAAAAGCATTAATAATATGCATATGCTACTGCATATAGGAGTTGAGCTTCCAGCCCAAAGGTATGCAGTTCAAATACATCAGTTAAAAAAATGAACAGTCTCCATTTGAGTAACTGCCTCTGAAAACCCTTAGAGGGTCAGCAATGAGTCAGTTCCAACTCGATGGTATATAATAACAGCAATAACAATGTACATTAAGGAGCTCTGGTTACATATTGGATAACTTGTTGGGCTGCTAGCTGACAGGTTCAAATCTGGGAGGAAGGTGAGGCTGTGTCCTCCTGTTGAGATTTATAGTCTGAAAAACCATGGATGGTCTCCATGACTCTGAACAGACGCGGTGGCAGTGGTTTCAGGCTGGTTTACTGGTAGGTTTTTGTTTGTCTTGTTTTTTTAAAAAGTTTTATTTTTTATTATTTTT